TATTTTCCTTGGCAATAAACGATTAAATTAATGAAATAAATAGGTTTGTATCAATCTTAGTTTTTAGTTCATGTCGACTATGTTTTGAATAATAGTATTTTATGCAATCGTTCCATTATGAGAGTTCTTAGAGACTATACGTGATGGGTATAGAGTCATCAGCTCATATCACCCCTGCTAGCCAACGCAGGAAGTCGTTTTTCCCTGTACATATATCTATAAGCTCATTCATTCTACTGGATTCCAGGGTATATGATATTTTATGACCAATAACAAGGATATGCCAGCGCCATTGACGACGTCCATCTTCATGGATATGTAAAGCATAAATATTCTGCGATTAGGCCGTGATAAAAACTAAAGAGATAGGAGTGTCCGCGATTGGCCAAGTACCGCTTATATTTTAACCAATCAAGAAGCAGTAGAGCGTTTGAGTAGAGTCATTTAATATGCGTATTTTACATTGTTTTTTAACAGTTAATTTGTTTACCAGTTACGTAACATTATGAGATATAGTTTAATAAAATAATTTTAATTTTATTAAATTCAAAAATTTTTGTGACGTTTTACCGGAACACAGTGACGCGTTAAAGGAGACTCTTATTTAGCAAGAATACGACGTTCGTTTTTGAAATTTTTCAGTTCATTGGCGAGTACCATAGACAATAGAATTTTGGTCTCGAATTAAAAAGAGCGTCTTTGTGAAATGGTTTAAGAAATTATGGTTGACAGATGAGAGACGTAACATTTCTTCAATTTTTTAATCATTATTTCATAAAATTTTACATGTATCATTCTATTCAAGTTACAAAGATGGGCTTGTCACTTACCACCAGGAGCACGACTTGTTCGTCCCGTCCCCTGGTATCATAAAAAAATTAACTTATTTTTAATAGGAAATGAAACTATGTATTTTTCCGGATTTAAATCGCGTATATTTGTTTTTTCAAACAAACCGACGTTTCGGGCCCTTTACAGGTCCCATGGTCACGGTTGACAGAGGTGGTACAATCTTCAACCAGTTATGTCTAATATTAATGCAAACCACCCTATATTTTCACTATAGTTAGAATAGTTATTAATTAAATACCTTATTTTTAATTTTACAAAGAAAACATCAAATCCTGTACAACCATACAAGCTTGACTGTGAGTGCGGTCTCTCTTATATTGGAGAAACAAAGCGAAGTATTTGTACCCGCGTCAAAGAACATATAGCTGATGTCAAACACCGTCGCGTAAACAAGTCTGCAGTCTGCGAGCATGTCATGGATAAACCTACACATTCAATGAAGTTTGACAAACCCCAGGTCCTTGCAAAAGAAGTCCGTTATCTACCCAGGATGCTGCGAGAGGCCATTGAAATTAAAAAACATCCTAATTTCAACAGGGAAGATGGTTTCTCCGTACCACCAGTTTGGGATCCAGTATTTCCTCTAATGAAAAATCCCAAACAGGCATAAGACTGCAGTACTAATTCATATGTTTTAGTTTATTCTAATGTCTATTAATAATTAATAACAAATTAAACTTAATAAAAATTCATTCAATAAAATAATTTGTAAAACTTAATGTAGCGTAAATTGAAATGTTTTCTTTGTAAAATTAAAAATAAGGTATTTAATTAATAACTATTGTAACTATAGTGAAAAAATAGGGTGGTTTGCATTAATATTAGACATAACTGGTTGAAGACTGTACCACCTCAGTCAACCGTGATCATGGGACCTGTAAAGGGCCCGAAACGTAGGTTTGTTTGAAAAAACAAATATTCGCGATTTAAATCCGGAAAAATAGTTTCGTTTCCTATGTGTAACAATCGCGAAAACCTAAGAACTCGATAACTTATTTTTAACATTGAAATAATTAAAAGCCACATTTCCTGTTCAAGAACTTGATAAAAACGTACAATTTATTTACATTGCAAAACAAAACCGTGTCAAATGTGAACGTTTTATCAATAAAATGGAAAATTAGTTTCACTGTTATTCGGTTACCTAAATCATTTATAATTTAAATACGTGACCAACTTTGACCTGACGTTTTGACGTTGTAATTAAATATAAATAAATAAAATAAAATCGACTTTATTTGTCATACGTAACTTACAAATGTTAAACAAAGAAGAAATAACGTGTCACCAAATATGATCATAGTTTAGCGTAAATGGTACATAAATATTTTTTATTACTTTTGGTAGGACGGTGCGAATGGCTATTAAAATTAAAAAACATCCTAATTTCAACAGGGAAAATGGTTTCTTCGTACAACCAGTTTGGGAACCAGTATTTACTCTGATGAAAAATCCCAAACAGACATGAGTCTGCAGTACTGATTAATATGTTTTAATTTAATTTAATTTTCATTATTTAACTTTATAAAAATTAATTTATATAAAATAAAATAATCTGTAAACATACATAATATGCGTAAATTGGAATGTTCTTTTATTGGAAATTTCTGATTGAAAAATTAATATTAGACATAACAGGTTGATGACTCTACCACCTCAGTCAACAGGGAAAATGTGTCCTGTAAAGGTCCGAAAGGAGTGTTTGTATGTAAAAACAAATACACTTTTTACTTTTACATTGCTTTGTTGCGTCATAACTCCCATCAATATTCTTAAAACGAGATAAAGTGCTCATAGATTATTCTGCAATAAAACTCAAACTTCACGTGGTTTACTGTTTTTAAATCATTAGATTAGACCTTCGTCTATATGCCCTCTTGGGGTGTCTAGATTGTTTATGGACTGCTTAGTACGGAGTGTTTTACGCCGATTGTACTTTTTTGTATCATATTTTGTTAGAGCATTTTTAAGTAGTTAATAAATTAATGGGGACCGATACCTTTTTTCCTTTCGTTAAGAATTGATACAACATCAAATGGCCTTGGTTGATTCCGCATAGTAATGAAAGTGTTGAAGTAATCACTGATTAGCATACAGTGTGAAAAAAAAAATCCTAAAAGTTTTCACGATAGAAAAAAATATATAAGCTTACCTCGAAATTTTACAAGAAAACCGCTGTATTCAGTGCTTTACGCATACCAATGATTTTTGTTTATATCAACTGAACTAAATAGTGCACGCATAATATACGTTTTTCAAATTTCGAATTCGTTTGTAAAAAAATATTCTGAAATAAAGCTAGCGTCCCTAGTAGTCGCGCGACTCGCGCAGTAGAACCATTTCAGTACAGAAAAAATTTAAACTCCAGCTTAAGTACTATCGACTTTTAAGGCTAGGCCACAGTTTATATGGGTTATTGATGATGAAGATCATGTGGTATTATTATCGATCGTCACTTATAGCAATCTTACACCTAAGCTACGAGAATAAAAGCCGAAATTTCATATGGAGAACCGGAAGTCTTTCTTCACCCTCTCTCGCTTCGTATACAATTTACATTACGTGATTTATATTTTGAGTGCACTGTATAAAAGCATTGGGTAATTTTTTTTTTATTTATTAAGGCTTTGGCAAAGCCATCAGCCTAAACATAAAGTTTAATTATGTTTCTGTAAATATGGCCGCCACAAAGAGAATAGGCAATTTGAGGCAGCGTGCTTGGAATGACTCGGGATTCCTTAAAACGGGCCGATACGTATAATTTCGCGTTTTAATCTTCGATTAAGGCACAATAGCACTATCCTATTCCACTTTAAACTAGATTTCACATAATAATTGATAGTCAAAATTAAAACGACACTTTTCCCTCCAAAAGGCCCAGAGCGAACCCATTGGGAAATTTTTATTTTAAAACGGTATGTGTTATCCACCCCTGCCAGGCGTTTACAAAATGTTTCTCACTTTTTTTTTATATTTTTTAGCACTGGCACAAGTGAACTTACTGGTTTATTTACACTTTTTTTTATAATTCAATTTTAGAACCGATGCGCACTGGCCACAATGCGTTACTAAAATCAAAGTGCGATGAGTTTCTAATTTTAAAATCGTCCAAGGTTTGTTATTTCAATGCCTTCGTATATGTACAATTGACAACTTTAAGTTTTTGATACGGACAAAATTGGTACTAAGAGATTATTTTGTAACATTTGTTACTCGAAACAAAATTGACAACTTCTTAAACCTAGTGGTTAGCAAAATGATAAGGTTCCATTCTCGGTAGGATCAATTTCATTAAAGAAAGAAAAGAAATACATTTATTTGGCTAAGAAATGACACCTCAAAAAAGAAACAAAATGGAATAAAAAAGCACAAAAAATTCGAACGTGACACAAATCATTAACCGACTATCATACGTCCACTGCCGGGCACGGATCGCCTCTTAGGCGAGAGTTAAAGCCGTAGATTATCAAAGACGTTCCAATTTTTTCATCAAGAGGGCGGTGAGCCAAAAAATTTGAAAACCTATGGTCTATGCCACAAGAACAATAATCTCAGTACAGAGTACTAAAAAAACCGACCTCAAAAGTACGTGGAATTACGTCTATTTGCTAAGTTTTATTAGTATATCCCCTAGATCACCACTATACAGGACTTGACACTGTAGATAATAATAATTGGTTCCCACTACTCAAAGTATATTGAGAGAAAAACGCCTTGAATTGGAGAAATAGCAAAATCAACCATTCAAATAATTGCTCCTAAATTAAAGTTAGGCACTATTTACAAAAATGAATCTGATTGATGATTTTCTTCAAAATGAAATGGGACCACTATGGAAGTACCCCCTTTCCAACAAAAAAAAGAATCATGAAAATCGGTTCACTAATAGCGGAGTTATCGCGTAACATACATACAAAAAACACACAGTCGAATTGAGAACCTGATATCTATGCATACATATGCATATGTCTCGCGGGCGCCGCGCTGCGACGCCGCGGGCGCCGACAGTAATAAACGGACCGTGTTACCTAACTGGCGTTGCATTACTAACCTCGCTTAACTACAAATATCACTGGCGACGAGAGAACTACTCGCGCGCGCGTGAAAATTTTTTTTTATTTAAATAATATTTTATTTAGTTAATTAAAATGTCCAATTATCTCGGCAGTATTAATGTGTTTAATCACAATGAACAAGAGTGGTCAGTGTTTTATGGGAAGTTAAAGCAATTTTTAAAACTTAACGACGTCAAAGAGGACAAAAAGGGTCCGTTACTACTCACTCATTTATCGGACGACACCTATCGGCTTCTACAAAATTTAATTCACCCAAAGAATTTGGAAGAGGCGAGCTATGCTGATATATTAGCCGTACTGAGCGAGCATTTGACGCCGAAGCGATGTACGTTCGCTGACAGAGAAAGGTTTTGCGAGGCGAAAAGAGCTACGGGAGAAAGTGTCGAGGAATGGGCTGCGCGCATTAGGGGACTCGCGGTGCACTGCGACTTTGGCAGTTCACTAGAGATGTTACTGACGAATCGTTTCGTGCTCGGAATGAGCGTTGGTCCCGAGCGTGACCGCTTATTCGAACAGGACGCTGCAACGCTCACTTTCGCGAAGGCGCTGGAGATCGCGCAGCAGACCTCGTGTATGCGCGAAGCCAGAGCTGCAGCCGCGGGGGCGCCCTTACACATGAAGGAAGAGCCCGTTTATCACGTGACGGGAGGTAGCGGTCGCCGCGCAGGTGCTGCTGGGCCGCGCGCATGCAGCGCGAGCGGCGCGAGTGCAGGCGCTCGCGATCAATATTCCAGGTGTTCCGTGTGCGGGTTAAAAAATCATGTGTCGCAAAAGTGTCGGTATAAAGGTTACGTGTGTCAAAAGAGCGGTGAAAAGGGGCACTTAAAAAAGTGTGTGTTAAGAAACTGAATACCCGCGTCAATAATATTGAAAATGAGGTGACGGTGTCGAGAGTTGTTGTGAGGAGTGCCAAAACTTTTAAATAAGGTATGTGACTAATAAACCGATTCAATTACAATTATTACTGGGGAAGAAATTAGTAACAATGGAATTGGACACGGGATCGGGTTCTTCTGTGATATCTGATAACATGTATAATAAATTATTTTCAACGTACCCATTACACAATGTTATTTGAAAATGTGTTTGTATAACGGACATAAAATATCGCCCTTGGGCTACTTTGAAATTTTAGCAGAATATGAACAAAAAAAACGTACACTTAAATTATATGTAGTTAAAAATGGAGGTCCACCCCTTTTGGGGCGAGATTTTATGTCTGCATTTAAATTGTTTTTAGTTACAAATACAAACAGTTTGACACAAGTGAATGCTGTTCAAACATTGTTAGATAAATATCCAGATTTATGGCGTGACGAACTAGGTACATTTAATAAGTTTAAGATTCACTTGCAATTAAAGGAGAATAGTGTACCAAAGTTTGTAAAGCCACGTTCCGTACCATTTGCTTTTAAGGACAGGGTAGAAAAAGAATTAGAAAGATTGGTCAATCTCGGAATACTAGTACCTACCCGTCAATCACTCACAACATGCTACGCCTATAGTGCCCGTTTTGAAAGAAAACGGGAACCTACGAATAGCCGGAGATTTTTCTGTTACCCTAAATAAAGACTTGATAATAGACAAATATCCACTACCACGGATTGAAGAAGTGTTTGCTAAAATAGGAGGGGGCGAAAAGTACATCAAAATTGATTTGAAAAATGCCTACAACCAATTTGTTCTTAGTGGTCAGTCTCAAGGTCTTACAACCATCAACACTCATAAGGGGCTACTATATAAGTACACTAGGTTAGTGTACGGCCTGGAATTCTTTATGAATACCCCTGAGCCCAGGGAGACTCAGGGGTTATGTGGGGACTCTCCCTCCACACTGGATGGAGGATTTTTCAAAAATCGATGGAATCTTTGCTTGCCGGTATCGATGGAGTGAGTTGTTGGCTTGATGACATATGTGTCACAGGTCCCGACATGGAAACACATTTAAAACGTGTCACAGGTCCCGACATGGAAACACATTTAAAACGGCTAAATAACGTTTTAAATCGCTTAAACGAGGCAGGCCTTCGTTTACGGAAAGAGAAATGTGATTTTTTTTCAAAGCGAAGTGACGTATTTAGGCTATGTAATAGATAAAAACGGTTTACCAACGTGCTCAAATAAAGTAAAGGCAATATTAAATGCTCCAGAACCCAATAATGTGACAGAGTATAGTCAATTATTATAGGAATTTCATTCCCAACGCGTCTTCGCTGATGAGTCCGCTACACGAATTGCTGCGTGCTAAAGCCGAGTGGGTGTGGGGTGCACGGCAGCGGGACGCCATGCGGGCGGTGAAGCGGGAGCTCGTGTCGGAGCGAGTGTCGGCGCATTTTGAACCGACTGACGGCGCAGTTAGTGTTGTCGGTCGACGCGGTTCCTGCCGGACTCGGCACGGTCTTAGCTCAGCGCGATGCTGCTGGCACTGAGCACCCGCTGGCATGCTTCAAGATCACTGGCACCTAGTGAAAGAAATTACAGCCAAATCCAAAAGGAAGCGACTGCTATCATTTTCGGAGTAAAGAAATTTCACCAATACCTATACGGTAGAAGTGAGCCCTTTATTTTAAAAACAGACCACAGACCATTGGTGTCGATATTTAATAATAAAACTGGGATATCGGTGACGTCAGCGCTTCGGCTACAAAGATATGCAATTATGTTGTCTGCATACAACTACGTAGTTCAATACTTGCCAGGTGATAAAAACTTAGTAGCCGACTATTTTTCACGCGCCCCATTAAATAACACCCAGTGTAGTAGTGACAAAGAATATGATACGTACCTACAATTCACTTAAATTTTTGTGTGGACTATCACCAGGACTAACGTACAAAACCATTCAGAGTGCGACTGGGAGTGATAACAGTTTACAGACGGTCATTAAGTACATGAACAAAGGTTGGCCAAGAAAAATAAAATGTAAATCAATTTTACCCTATTTTCAATGCAAGGCTGACTTACAATATGAGAACAATTGTCTGCTAAGAGGGCCAAAGGTTATTATCCCCGAATCATTGCGAGGTGGTATGTTGGCCGAGTTACATAAATCACATCTAGGAATCGTCAAAATGAAATCTAATGCCCGTAGTCGCATGTGGTGGCCGGGCATCGACAGCGACATCGAGCGACACGTGAGCGCGTGCAGCGCGCGCGCCGCCGCAGCCTTGGCCGCGCCCGCTCGCAGCCTGGCAGCGCGTGCATATAGACTACATGACTATAGGGCAGAGGGTGTATTTAGTGATTGTTGACGCCTATAGTAAATGGGTTGAATGTCTACACATGGCTAATGGTACGACAACGCAGGCTTTAATATCAAAACTAAAACAGGTATTTTCAACTTTTGGTATTCCGAACGTCCTAGTATCAGACAATGACATTAAAATCAACTCCGCTGAATTCAATAAATTTTGTTCTTACAATGGTATAAATTATAAAACATCGCCAATTTATTACCCTTGTAGTAACGGGCAGGCGGAGAATTCTGTGAGAACATGCAAAAAAAATTATAAAATGCATTCTAAAAGATAATGTCACGCATTGTGTGATTTACGATGAATTATTAGGATATTTATCTATCTATAGAAATACTGTGCACTGTTCCACAGGACAAACACCGGCTCGCTTAATGTTTGGTCGGGAATTGAGAACCCGTTTAGATTTAATATTACCTAAAGAGAGAAACCTAACATTTTCCTTAAAGGAACTAAATGTAGGTAAAATCAGGCAGTTCAACATAGCCTATCATGTTTGGGTCAGATGGTACAGTGCACGTAAAGAGCACTGGATTAGGGGTAAGGTGTTACAAAAAGTAGGTAACAGAATGTTTAAAATTTTTGTTTATGATCATAACATACGTTGTATTCGCCATATCGATCAAATGCTAAAATGTAATTCAGCCGTGGACCAAAATGACACCTTGTCAGTGCTCGATGGCCCTTCAAAAGAGTCACAGGATCACCCATCACCTTCAACAGTCTCGACACCTAGTCTCAGTGAGCCCTTATCCGACGAAGGGTCGGTAGAAACGAGAACAAATGATGATGATAAGGAGGAGTGGATGGACTGTGGGGAAATGGTTGATGCTGAGTCTTCTGATGATTTGCTCGCACCAGCCCCGCCGTCCGAGGCAACCCACAGTAACATGGGTGAGGGCAGTAGTCAAGAGGCGCAGCCCTTGACTCGTCAGTTGCGGCCTAGAACTAAGGTAGATTTTAAGAAGTATTTTTAAGTTAAGCAATCATATTCTTTCTATTGTTACCAGATTCTGTAAATAAAGGTGGAGGAATGATATGTATGCATACATATGTATGTCTCGCGTGCGCCGCGCTGCGACGCCGCGGGCGCCGGCAGTAATAAACGGACTGTGTTACCTAACTGGCGTTTCATTGCCAACCTCGCTTAACTACAAATACCTCAGAACCTACTCCTTTTTTGAAGTCGGTTAAAACAGTCGAGCCTTTTATCTTTCTTAGACAAACTTACAAATATACAGACAATGACTTGAAACTTCTAACTCCTCTTTTTGCGTCGGTATTAAAAATACGGTTAAAAAAATCGAATTTTCAAATCGAGTTCTTAGGTTTTCGCGATTGTTACACATAGGAAATGAAACTATTTTTCCGGATTTAAATCGCGTATATTTGTTTTTTCAAACAAACCGACGTTTCGGGCCCTTTACAGGTCCCATGGTCACGGTCGAATTTTCAAATTCAAATTGAAAATTGTTTTTCAATGTAAACTTCCTTCATACGTAATTAACATAATACTTGATTTACCGTATTAATTGTATTATTTATTACGTATGTATATTTACCTAGTTTGACGTCACGACAATACCTAATGGAATGTCATTTGAAAAAAAAAAACATTAATAAAAAACTTTAAAACATCGATATTTAAAAAAAATCGATATAAATCAGCGAACTTAAAATGTCTACAAATTAGAATAGAATAGAAATTTATTACAACGCCACAACACATAGATACAAAAAAAATATTGATAAGACTTAGAGAAGCAAAACAAAATAAAAAGACGTAATAAACAAAATAAAAATAAAATGAGACAAAACAGACAAAAGGCAAAAAACCCGACGTATATAACGACTACAAACGTTGTACTGTCATGTGTGCGGTTGTGGCATACGCAAAAGGACTTCATTCCGCTGGTGTTCAATGAGCCCAAATTCACCACTGTCCACCCAAATTAAAAGCGTACTCTCCCATTCAGTCATCATCACCATATCAGCCGGAAGACGTCCACTGCTGAACATAGGCCTCCCCCAAAAATTGCCAGACTAGCCGGTCGGACGCGACGTGCATCCATCGATTATCCGCCCTTACCAGGTCATCCGTCCATCTAGTAGGGGGCCGTCCCACTAAACGCCTACCGGTTCGTGGTTTCCATTCGAGAACCTTTCTGCCCCAACGGCCGTCAGTTCTACGAGCTATGTGCTCTGCCCGCTGCCACTTTAACTTGCTAACCCTTTGGGCTATGTCGGTGACTTTCGTTCTTCTACGGATCTCCTCATTTCTGATTCGATCACGTAGAGAAATGCCAAGCATTGCTTGCTCCATATCTCGTTGAGCGACTTTGAGGTTTTTTATGAGGCCCGTTGTAAGTGACCACATTTCAGAGCCGTAGGTCAGCGCTGGCAACACGCATTGCAACACATCCCATTCAGTGCTAACTACAAATAAATTTCTTTTTTTTTAATCTTTACGATTAAGGCTGCAAAATTGTGGAACGATCTCCAATTTGAAATCCGACATTCTAAGTCGCTACCTATTTTCAAAACCGGATTGCGTAAATATCTTTTATCACGGTCCTAGTCTGCAATGTGTGTATTAGTAAGTGTAAGTTATTAGTAAGTATAAGTTTATTTAGGTATATTTATATATACATATATTTACGTTGGTATAATATATCATTATTTATTAAACATTTTATAAATTACTATGTGTCTTCATTTAATTTATTTATTTTGTTTTTTTTATTTATACAATTTATTTTTTTATATTTGTAAAATTGGCACACTACGTCTCCCGCCCCGATTAGCTTTCCTCTAACTCAAAGGTTGTCTGGAAGAAATCGCTCTTAGCGTTAAGACCGCCTTTGCCCACATTAATTTTAAGTTATTTATGTACTATTCTTGTTCTTGTGTGTAAGCAATATTTTTTTTTATTTTGTTTATCTATTATTTATTTATGGGTTTTGATCATTATTGAACTTGTCAGCCCCATTAGAAAAACAATACCTCAAGAAAACACTTAAGAAAATCCAGATAGATAAATCAAAATACTACCTAATACAAACATGAATACAAGCTATCTTGTTTAAGGTCATCGTAATTATCATGTTTTCTTGAAAAGTCAGTTCAACGAGAAGTGTACCTAAAATATTCTATTTCTTCTGCGTCATCATATACAATGTACTAACAATGCCAATAATTGTTGGAGACTAAAAGAATTAATAGTTTTTTAGTAATTTAGTGTACAAACGATGTTGGTATTTTCTCGTATTTGTATCGTTCTTAGTGCACTAGCGACATCTGAAGTCAGTCCGAGTTTTTTATAGACCATTTCACATAGCATGATTCAGTGACGTTTGAGATTTAAAGTTTCTAAAGATGTAGTGATGTAAAATCGAATGGAACAAAATCGATTTAAATATCTTATCTAGACAGTTTGTAACGAAGATAGAATCGATTTACAGACAGTAGTTTAATAACAAACAATAAACAAAACAGTAAGGATTCAATTATTATGTTATTAAATTACAAAAAAAACCTCACAACAATTTAAAAAATCAACAATAAAGCGCAAAATCAACTACAACGAAACCAACTTTGAACAGCGACTCCAAAACCATCACTCAAAGCTGAAAACAAAAGAAAACCGGCCGCGTACAAGATGTATGCACTCGTCGAGATAAACTACAGCCGAATCGATTTATCGATTTTGTAGTGTAAATGTCTATGGACAAAGTATTCCGTTTTACGCATCAAATAATCGGGGTAATATATTTTTATCTGTATCATTTAATTTTCTTTCTACTTAATATACATCATCATTATCAGCCTATCGCAGTCCACTGCTGGACATAGACCTCCCCAATTAGTTCTCTGTCGGATAACCTTATTACGAATTTTATCCTTCAGAGAAACTCCGAGCATAACTTGACTTTAAATTGGTGGACTAGCCGTATCGTGAGTGTCCACGTCTCGGCTCTGTAAATCATAACAGACAGGACGCATTGGTTAAAAATCTTTGTTTTAAGGCTTTGTGGTATAGGTGACGAGGAGACTCGTCAACGTAGCTTCTCAAACGCTGCCCATCCAAGCTGAATCCTCTTCCTGGCTTCCTTCTCGAAATTGTTTCTACCTAACTGCAGAATATGACTTAATATGCTCTAATTTTTAATATGGCCGTTTTGACAGATTACAATAGTGAGGTGAAACCTCAATTCATTATCAAAAAAAAAAATTCAAATGCGAGTCGCATCTATATGTTTTTAGATATATAACTAGTAATGCAAGGGGTAGCTGATTAAAAAGTTTTAACTAAATGAAATTGTTTACTTAATACGTCGTCAATTTGAAATTGCTTTGTTTTGCATTGAGCTTTGGCCGGAGGTAGAAGTTGTGCTGGACAGCGATCCTATAAGTGAGAAATCCCGAGTTGTGTCATAAAATTATACCTCCATGATGTTTTATTGCACATCACTATTGAGAACAATGTCCACCAATTAGCTCCTTCAATGTAGTTATGAATTAATACGAAACCTGTTGAGCGGACAAGCGTCAAAACTGCCGGTGCTTTAGTTACAAATAGTATGTATGCAATGTAAAAATTGGAAATGTCACAGGACTCATCCTATGTGAAATGGACTATAAATTAGTGTATTCTCAGATTGGAAACGAATACCGATTGGACGCAGTGCACAAACCCGCTAACTCCAATCAGTTAGTATGATGTCAAAAATATTTGCTTCTCAGCCGGGTGTGGTGCAAATAACTTTCGTGTACCGTGTTTGTTCGCACGTAATCTTAAAAGACTTTGATGCATTAGATGCAATAAAAATGTGATAAGGCTAACTGTTCTTGCGCAAAAAAAAATCTTACATTCGGTTTTGTTATTTTACCGTAAATTTAACTTGAGATAAGAAAAAATTACGCGTAAAATTCATTACCGACATTTCGCAACAAGTTTAATATTTTAACGGCTGTTTTAAAATATTTACGTTCTATATTGGAATTTCATTTCGGTTTAAATACAAAGTATTTAGGTTTCTTACTTATAGAACAGTATTAGATTTACTAAGCAGTCGTGTAAGGCAGAGATTTTCAAACTTTTTTTCTATTATTCATATTTTTACAAGTTCATCTTCTTTTTTTTCTCTTCAAATTTGTTTTTGATAGCTTGTTAAGTTTTCTATGTTATTTATGGAAAGCCAGAATTTTAATCACAACCTTCTTAAATTCCCAAACTCTCGAGAGAAATAAATGTAGGTCACACAAATGTTTCTCCCGGCTCGGGAATCGAACCTGGGACCTCTGACAGTATAGCATGGTAACCGTTCGATCACAGAGGCAGTTGAAGAGACCAGGGAAAGAATGATCAAAGTCACTTATAACAAATTTGAAGTTAGTAAGTGTCGCCATCCAGTTAGGTTAACCCTGAGCGTATTTTGCATAGAACAGTAAAAGGTTAATAAATAATGTTAATAACGTCGTGAACAGTTAGCTTTTATTTTTAGTCATAAAAATGCTTGCAACTAAATAATAGAAAAGTTACAAATGATTTTTAGTGTTTTTTTTAGTAAATATACATAGCGGTGCATACATTTACATACATTACATTTGTCAGCATTGACTTTATTTCAGGTAGTATTAAAATTAGTGCGTGTCTTTTTTAACAACATTTAAAAGTTCTCTAACTAATTAAAAATTCTTTTGTCCTAAAATTCTTCTCAAGCGACTTTGATTATTCTTTTTTTTGATCATGGAAAACCAAAAGCTTCTTAGATTTAATAAAATCAGCAACATAAACACAAAACCAATTACAGGTTTCAAATAGGATATCCGTGAGTTTACGCTTTAGCGCATAGGTTCAAAAAATATCAACGTCCACCACTACAAAAAATAATAGGAAACACGTATTTTTTTATATTAATTTAATATAAAAAAATCACAAGGAAAAAAATATATGTATGACATGTATGCACTACAC